CCAACTCTCTCCGAAAGAATAGCCCGATGGAAAATGATCTTAACTGAATATGACATCCAATACACAACTCAAAAAGCAATTGAAAAGTGTACCGGCAGATCATTTGGTACACCAAGCTGTTGATGACTACCAATCCATGAACTTTGAATTCCCGGATGAGAATATCATGCTAGTAACAAACTGTGAAGAACATGGACCGTATAAAGGACCTGAGCAAGGATCCCGATTGACTATGGTTTTTGATGGTGCTTCCAACGCACTTGGCAACAGAATTGGTGATGTGATCATCTCCCTCGAAGGTTTCCATACGCCCTTTACTGCCAGACTTTACTTTGATTGCACCAATAATATGGCCGAATATGAAGCATGCATCGTGGGTCTTAAAGTTGCTATTGACCTAAGAATCAAATTCTTAAGTGTATATGGAGACTCAGCTTTGGTGGCCAGTCAAGTTAAAGGAGAGTGAGATACAAAACATCCAAATCTTATCCCTTATCGAGAACTTGTGCTAACCTTGATCCCGTACTTTGAAGAGGTTACCTTGAACATATCCCAAGGGAGGAAAATCAGTTGGCAGATGCGTTAGCCACTATGTCGTCTATGTTCAAGGTCAGATGTGACAATGAAGCTCCCAAAATTACTATCGAAAGATTTGACAAACCGGTGCATTGCTATGAGATTGACACTGATGGAGTAGAGGAGAAGCCTTGGTTTCACGAAGTGAAAAGATATCTTGAAGCACAAGAATACCCTGAAGGGGCATCAATCAATGACAAGAAATTCCTGCGGAGGTTCTCAGCCAAGTTCTTCCTGAGCAATGTGATCTTATACAAGCGCAATCATGATTCAATTATGCTCTGTTGTATGGACAAGAAGGAAGTATAGAAGATCATGGAAGACACATACTAAGGTATATTTGGTACTCACTTAAGTGGACACACTATAGCCAAGAAGATTCTGAGAGCTGGTTACTATTGGTCGACCATGGAAACCGACTGTCATCACCACTCGAGGACTTGCCACAAGTGCCAAATTTATGCTGACAAGGTTCACGTGCCTCCAATAACTTTGAATGTCATGACTTCTCCTTGGACATTTGCAATGTGGGGTATTGATATGATCGAAGAAATTAAACCTACTGCCTCTAATCGACATCACTTCATTCTTGTCGCCATTGATTACTTTATAAAATGGGTCGAGGCAACTTTATTTGCCTTAGTTACCAAGAACGTTGTGGCCCGCTTCATCAAGCATAACCTCATCTATCAGTATGGAATCCATGAGAGGATCATCACTGACAATGGTACCAACCTCAACAACGCCATGATCACTGGACTCTGCATACAGTTCAAGATCAAACACCACAACTCTTCCCCATACAGACCTAAGATGAATGGCGTAGTGGAACCTGCCAACAAGAATATAAAGAAGATTATGCAGAAGATGGTGGTGACTTACAAAGATTGGCATGAGATGTTACCATTTTCTCTTCATAGCTATCGTACTTCAGAGCGAACATCAAATGGGTAAACCCCATTCTCTTTGGTCTATGGCATGGAAGTTATCCTGCCTGCCGAAGTTCAGATTCCTTCTCTAAGGATTATGAAAGATACATACATGGACGAAGACGAGTGAATTCAGACAAGGTTGGATCAGTTGAATTTGATTGACAAAAAAAGGCTCGTTGATATCTCTCACAGTTAGATGTACCAGAAATGTATGATCAAAGCCTTCAATAAGAAGATCAAGCATCGGGTATATCAGGATGGTGACTTGGTGATAAAGCGCATCATTCTACCACAAGGTGACCCAAAGGGAAAATGGACTCCCACCTACAAAGGGCCATTTGTTGTCAAGAAAGTATTCTCAGGTGGTGCTATGATACTGACCATCATGGATGGTAAAAATTTCTCGCACCTTGTGAATGCGGACATAGTCAAAAAATACTACGCATAAGAATGACCCGCTAGGTTGACATACCTAGGAAAAAATAAGGGCATCACAGCGAACCAAAAGGATCTGGGAAAAAATTAGGGATACATAAAAAATATGTACACCTGGAAAGTCGAAAACCTGAAATGGCGGCTTGGGCAAAAAAGGGTATCCTGGTGGACTGAAAACCCGAAAGGGCGGTCCAGGAAAAAGTTAGGGATTGAAAGCGTACGACTAAGTCCCGTTGGATCACTTACAACCAACTTTATTACCAAGGTTAAAAGTTCAAATGGTACAACATTAGTTCAATCAACTTCTTCCGACAAAAATGGATGAGATGTTCAAAGACATAGGGGCAATAGCGGAGTTGGAATCCAATGAGATCATTTATTCATGGCTATATATATATATATATATATATATATATATATATATATATATATATATATATATATATATATATATATATATATATATATATATATATATATATATATATATATATATATATATATATATATATATATATATATATATATATATTTGTACTCTTTTCATTTCACGACGATTTCCTCTTAAAAGGATTTTCGTATCTTTGTACAAACTCGCCTGTTTATAGGCCAATTATCAATACAAATATACCTTGAAGTTCAAACTTTTTGTTTTTTCTGTTTTGTTTGCAAAAACGTCCAATGACTAAATTGAATGAACATATGCTTATGTACATGATTAACTGTTAACAAATATATGCATAAAAACAGAAATAAGCATTTGATCAAAGTTCTAGGAATCAGGATCACATTCGAGTTGTCCATAAATCCCCACAGAGTCACTTTCATAAGATTATCCCCATAGAGATACTCCTATGAGATTACCCCCATAAAGTAGTCTTCACAAATAAGGGTAAATTCCCCACAATCTCCCCGACAGATAACTCTAGCAAATAAAGGAGTATAATCTATTTCCCAACATACGGAGTTTCCAATCATTACACTTCATGGAAATTCTCTTCCCCAGCTGAGTTTGGCCCTCCAAAACCGAAAAGAAACCTTACATAGTTCTTCTCTTTAGCAAATTTAATTTCCCCAAGGGAGTTGGTTTCTTCAGCATAACACTTCTTCATCAACAAGGGTTTATTTCCCCTACAAGGTTTATTTTCCCAACAACCTATAAATTCCCCAGCTCGAGTCTATTCCTCAGACTACTACAAATCACTGACAAAATTTTTTCCCCAGTAAAGTCATCACTATCCCTAGAAAGTTACTGCAAAATTTAGAATCTGACCAGATACCAGTTAACTTTATCCAGACAAGTCGGAAGATTATCCATCTATTTTATCCCCAATCAGGATAAATAATAAATAGACTTCCCAGTAGAGCAACGAACAACCAAGGTTCCTAAACTCTACTCCCCAAACAAAAATCCATACATCCCCTACAGAGTCTTCTCAAACAAGTAAACAAGAATCCCCAGCGGAAGCATTCTAGACAAGATTGAAGATACACATTATTGTACCTCAAAATTTTCCCTTCCATTTTTCATTTAAGATATTATCCTAGGCTTTTCCTAAATACTCAAATTGGCTCAGGAGTTGATCAGACAGATTCTCCTCCTAAGCATTGAGTCCACGACTAGGGTTTGGTACTTCTCAAGAAAAATTGAGTTTCTAAGTTTTCGAATGGTCTTCATGGTTCTTCATGTATTCTCAAGGATGCTCATGCCAAGTTTTAAGCCTCGCATCGCAACTTTGCTCAGTCAATGGTGCAGATGATTGAAAATTAACTGTATTGACCCAAAAATCGACCTTTTCAAGATCAAGTTCAAATGATTGAAACTTCTTCATTATTCAATATTTTTGAGTGGTTCTTTTTGCATATGACTCTCCTTGACATCATCTCCCATTTCTCTTTACAAGTCAAGAGTTGATCACGTGCGAAAGATCATCAGAAAATTCGAATACTTTAGAGGTCATTTTTCAAATTGGACCTAATCACGAGAAACTCTTATCTAATTCTCGAGGTTCATAACTTCTTTAATTATTTTTGCGAAGTATTACAAATAGCGTTGTCTATGAGATTACTTCAAAGATCAAGGTCAAATTGTGCTTGGTTCAATTTATGTCACAAACATTTCTCAAAGGGCATTTGATTCTTATGTTGGGATAATCTATGAAGCTAGAGTTCTAGTTCAATGATTCATTGACCGCTTGTCGCCTGCGTCAAGTCATTTGCAGTTGTACATTAGAGATTATTGGATTAAGGTTGATTGTTGATTAAATCTCTTAAAGGCGCGATATGTATTATTGGACCGTATTATAAGTTACCACGAATTGACAATATGGGATTTAAAGAAGAATATTTGAGGAACAATTCGAATAATTTTTTTTTTTAATTTCAAATCAATTCAAGTTAGCAAAGCGTTACACGATATCATAAGTTTCGTCCAAATTTTCTATGGTTCATTCGCGTGAATTATTTTTAATTCAAGGTATAAAAAAACGAATTCACTAAAACTTGCTCAATTCATTCAAGTTCTTTTTAACTTCATTCATTATCATGATAAATTCCAAACAATTCCCATGACCTAATTTAAAGAGTAAGCATCATCATTCTTCAAAATCAAATTGTTTCAATCAAGGTCCATTCAAGTGTCTTCAAGACCAAGTTTCAAATATCATTAAAAAAAATAGGGCAAGTTCATCAATGTTAATTCAAGGAAATTCAAGAGAATTAAAAGTTTCAAGGCATGTATCATTATCCATCCATCATTCGAAAGTCCACTTTCAAGGTTCACTACCATTCAATTTCATTCATATTCATTCAAGCTTCAAGAAGAAAAATTACATGGATTTCATATTCTAAAGCTTTGAATAATTTCATCATTCAAGTTTCCAAAAATACAAATTCAATTCATTTTTTTTAAGTTTCAAATTACAAGAAAATTTCTCAAGTTCTTTTTTGTTATACATGAAAACCTAAAGTCCCTCCTAAGAATATGCTAACTCGTTTCTAAAATCCTTCATGCTTCATTTGTTATGCTCAACCTTCAAATTTCCTTGCCTTGCTTCATTATTTCATCATCTTTTCCATAAAATCTGGCAAAACTAGCCCTGCCATCCTGCTACAACAAACAGCCTGTACATGTTGCCCAAAAATGTCCAAAACCAGTCCCAAAAACAGCCCTGTTGTCCATTGCTGAAATGTCTAAAAAACCAATACAAAAACTGTTGTGCACCAGTCCAAAAATAGCCTACTACCTATCTTCAAAACCTATCCAAAAATCTGTCAAAACAGCTGCAATAAACAGCCAAAGATATCACAAAATTAACAAAACAAAGACTGCACCAGAAAGCACAAAAAACAGCAGCCATATTTGTTCAAAATTCACCCAATTTCCCCCCATTTTCTCATTATCTCACCTATATAACAGAAGCAAGTTAGGAAAAAGGAGAGGGTTAAAAACTCTTCTAAAATATACAAGCTTCATCCAATCTACGAAAACCATTCAAAATATCACTCTTTTAACCTCCAAGACCCTCCACCTCCATAACCTTTAAACTCTCTGCAAAATTCTCTCATACAGAAGCTCATTCAACACTCATCATATAACCCACAAAAATGCACTATCCTCGAATAATATCAACAACAACCAATCACCTACAACAATTCATTTGGCCTAAGAATTCTTGAACTAGTTTCAGAAGAAGGAAGAAGAGATAAAGAAGAATCAGAAGTGTAGACAAGGTGCCAAAGCTTACCTAAGAAGAACCGAAACTCCAATCTGTAACAGCTTAGAATCTGCTCCAAATCTAAAGCAAACAGAACAAGGAGAAGTAATTAAAAATACTCACTACCAGAAAGAATGACTTTGACAAGTACTTATTCTTTTCCACCATTCTCGCACCTCTATGTTTGCATATGTTCTGTACTAACTATTGAATAATGTCTGTTGCTAATGCATAGAAAAAAATAAGAAGAAACCATGTGAAATAATTATAATGTTATAGAAAAAACTAGAAAAATTATATAGGTGCACATACAGAATTTTTACACTGTTCTTACCAAGTTTTTTTTACTAAACACTCCCCCGGCCTTGCTTTTGTTCGTTAATCTCCAAACCCTTAGACAAATCACTCAAACTCTGGCCAACTCTCTATAAACTCTACTGAGTTAATCTCACCTTCATTCTCCGTCCCTCATCGCACTCGGCATCAATCAACTCAAACGAAAACTTGTCCTTGGAGATGATACTGTTGTTGTTATATGGTATGGATTCGGGCTCAAGAACCACCTCAACTTCCACTTGCCATACTGATGGATTTTGGCAATGCTCGACCTGCAAAAAGAAAAGCTTTCATTCAAAAGAAACAGAGAATATACAGAAAACTATAGCAAACAGAACCATACCCACTCCGCAGAGAACTATATTGTCTGCAACATTTTGAGTTGGCTTTGAATTACAACAATCTTCACTGAAGGTATTGCAACAAAGCCAACAATAAAGGGTGACACCAAATCTGCCAGATATCTCAATTAAACAGCCTGAAAAGAAATCAATAAACCCAACCAAACCCATCATTGTAGCAATCACCCTTCGTCATAACACCATCATCCAATTATCAGCAAACCCAGCTAATTATACAAACTCTTCTTTGTTTACTACCTAGTCCACTGCATATATCAGCTTCAAACCATCAGTGGCAGCACCGCGACGACGCTTCTATGGAGATTGAAAGAGACTGCAATGCCGTTGCTGACATCGCTATTTCCAAATTCAAACGAGTTATTTCACTTCTTGAAAAAAACCAGAACCGGCCATGCTCGTTTCAGAAAAGCACCTCTACTGCAAACTCAACCTGGACAATCAATCTTCAATGATACACCTCTTCAAATAGATCCTCCTCCACAAATATCCTCAACATAAGCTCAGCCTCAGTTTTATCTTACATTAGACCATCTTCCTCAATAACCTGTTCGACATCTTCGACAAGGCCTTCAACTCCTACTTCACGCACAATACCATCAAGGGCGTCAACACTTTCCAGAAAACGTACAGTTTCAACGAGCTCTACTGCTGAAAAGAAAGAGGAAGATGACGGTTTAGCAAGAATAGTTGGTGCTGATGACTGGTTTGAGAAAAAAAGTGAATGGTTGGAGTAAACCAGATGAAGCTGATGCAAGATCCATGAGAAACAGTAAATCTAATTATGAAGGAATTAGCAAGAATATAAAGCCAGCTCAAAATTGTTTTGTTGTTAGAAATAGTAAATCTAATTTAATCTGGATTTGCCTTCCCAGTACAACATCCCCAGCGGCGCCTATTCCTCCATAATTAGGGTTTTTTTTTCAAAAAAACATTCTTTTCCCCTCTAGTTGGACCCGGATCCAGGTCAACCCGGTCCGGCCCAACAATAATTCTTTAGCTTGTCTAGTTTTTTTCTTTGGATGGCATTTGGGCCTTACCTCCATTTTCACAATGCAGGCCTGTTCGAAATTATTACTCTTCCCCACCAATTTCTTGTTTCCCACCTTTCTTTTGCTAAATAATTTAGTTTAGTTTTAAGTTAATAGTTTTAGAATGAATTAGGTTAGATGTGATTTAGAAATTTTATAATTTAGTTTACATATAAAGTAATTTAGATATAATTTAGTAGTTGTTAAATTTTCCGCAAATTTTAGAATTTTTATAATTTTAGTTTTAAATATTTGTTTAGAATTAATTTAGTTTAGGATTTTATAAATAATTTTATTAATTAACATTGGTTAGTTAAAATTCTTTTAAATTGTTTGATTTCTTCAAAATTTGCACAAAAAAAAAAACAAAATACCAAAAAATATTATTTCGATTAATTTGCCAACTAACCTTATATTTTGTTGTAGCTTAATTAACCGTTCATTTCTATTTCGATTGGGTTGTATTACTTAATACTTTTAATCACATTAGCGATTCGATCCATCCTCATTTGTAAATTTGTATCCCCATTCCCGAAAGCTCTGTAATAGCGTAGAATTTTAATTTCCGCAATTTACTGTTTTCTTTTATACTGTATAGTAATTAGCGTGTATGATAAGACATAAAATCAACCGCTAGATAACCCTAATCAAAGATAAGTAAACTTGAGTCAATCACTTTTCACACACGTGCACCTCTAGGGTTAACCTCGCTTGTTGCCTTGAAAAAATACAGTCATGTCCCTCGAATGTGGGACACTTTAGAAGAGACCCTCGATAAAAAAGATCATAGTCCCTCGATGTCCCTCGATGTTGCCTTTGGTAAACGATCTAGTCCCTTACAAAAATTGCTAAAACATATTACAAGTTGCTTTCTATGACTGTACGATTGACCTGCGCCTGTCCCTTCACATCCAATGATAGGGCTTCTTACCAAATTAATAGTAAGATAGCAATATATAAAGGATGAGGAAAAGAACTAAGACTTTTGAGTAGGTAAAACATTCATAGTTTCTTGCTCACAACATTTTCAAAACAACATCTTTCAAACACACCAACACTTTCAAAAATGAAATATTTTCAAAAGTAAACACTTTGTATGCATTCTTATAGAGACGGGAATCATTACAAAGTTTGCCTAAACGATGGAACTTTTCAAAAATACTTTCAAAATCGTCACAAACACATTTTCAAACAAAGCATTTCAAAAGTGAGCTAGCAACTAAGAGCTCGTAGATAACTACGGATGAAAAGGGTTCTAACACCTTCCCTTTTCATAACCTACCCCCCGAACTCAAGAAAATATCTCAAAAGGTTTTTCCTATCCTTTTCACCCTTTCCTTTATTGGATAAAAGAAAAGTCGATGGCGACTCTTGCTAACCGCAACAACTGCGATCAAACGCAAAACACCTAAGTCAGTTCTCCCACCATATTACAGAACTGGCGACTCTGCTGGGGAGTAAATTAAAAGTGGGGTTACCTTAGAAACTAGATCATATTTAAATGCTTTCATTGTTTGATTTGTTTTCTTTACACTTATGGGCCCTTGTTTAGGTTTGTATTGATCCTCTACCCGAATCTGGGAACATCATTAGGTAAAAAGAAAAAAATTGTGGAGATTGTACGGCGTAGACCGATATGGTTGAGACAATAGCTATGTTAGTGTGACATATTTGTGGGTACCAATATCCGTTATGGCGAATTAAGGAGAATATGGGGCCGCTGTATGGTGTCATGAAGCACTAACAAACCTTAGAACCATTAATTGAATAACTTGGCCATTAGGAAGTAGTGAGATAGCCAGATTTGGTGCAATCCAAAGTTGGTTGATACTACGCTCATTGAGATCGGACTTTTGGGATATTTCGGTCGCTAAAATAGAGGCTTGCGCTGAAACAATGCCCAATGAAGATAGATCAATGATATTGAGATCCCCTAGAACTCAATTACTTTCTAGGACAAGTTAAATCAACTAAACTTCAAGAGGGTACTTACCTATAAACATCATGCAAGCCTAAAACTAAGGACTTGTTTACTTGTATATAACATCATGACATCATACCATTGCATTTGCACTAACCATTTCAAGGACTTTAAGATTTATCTTTGTGCTGTTTTGTAGGACATGGTTTTCATGCGAAGAAATACCATCCAAATCAACCTTGTGAGAGTGCCTCCTCAACTCAAGGAATTAGCATAAAGGGTTCCCAACGATTCTCTATTCACCAAGAAGTACGGTCGTCTCATAAAATTGGTTACCATAAACTTTGAAGAGGATATGGTACATGTGCTTTTCCAATTCTTTGATCCTAAGCACCATTGCTTTATATTTCCTGATTACCAACTAGTGCCTACTGTTGTACCCCAAAATTTTCCCTCTTTTCATACACGCATATTATTGGTTTTATGGTTATGGAATAAAGGTATATTTATCAAGCTTCTTTAGGTTACAAGTGACATTTATTTCGTCAATGGATATTCTTAGAGTACTTTCCGTGCTGAAGATCGGTTCGCCGTTTTGCAACGATTTGGGGTTTAAAGATTCACAAGTCTAACTCGGCACGTCATATTCAGGTGTTCTTTCGCCAAGATATCTTTGATAACATATTCTCAAATTCAGGTTCGGCTCAAGAGTCAATTCTTTAAAGAAAGTCTCCGAATGTGTAAGTTTTCTCGAACAAATGTGGTGAAAAAGTGTGCTGAAAGTGCAGTTTTTACGCGCTAAAAAATTCATAACTTGAAGATCGTGACTCGTTTTGAACCTGTTCCGGTGGCCAAAATTCCTTCTTGACGTTATCTACGTTTTCATCTCTCACAGATGGAAGCCAATTTCGATCAGAAGGTCTACAAAAATGCGGATTTATCAAGTATTTTCGTATAGAAAAATTGTGACCAAAATTTATTTGCGTCATGTTCAGAAAATCATAACTTGGTCGATTTTCATCGTATCGAGCTGGTTCTGACGCCAAATTTTTAAAAATTGAGTTGGCTAAGTTTTCACAGGAGGTATTAAGTTTGAACGGTATACAAAAGACCTTTGTTTTTTGCTCATAGTGCGTGTGACGCGCCAAAAATACTGAATGCTGAATATTATTTCATCTGGGTCGAAACTTCGAAAATTCATAACTTGGTCAATTTTTATCGGATCGGGCCCATCTTTTTATACAAGGTCACTGACTCAGAGATCTACAACTTTGCTTCCAAAATAGAGACCAGGTTATGCTCCGATAAATACCATTTTTTTATTGAAGAACGTGTCAGAGTCGACACTGGAGCCCAAAATAAGTTTGTCTGAGATAAAAATTCAAAAATTCATAACTAATTCACTGTTTATCCGATTGAGCCCATTTTCGAACAAGAGTTAGTTCTCGATGTCGGCTACATTTTGTTTTCACATTTCAACTTCAAAAATTGCACTTAAGCCCCTGTGATTTAGTATGAAACGTGACAGACTCAAGTGAATATTGGAAGCCCAATTGCATATTCAAAGCCCATTTTTTTCTCTAATTTCCATTATATAATCTCATTCTTTTCACACAAACAGGAGAAAGAAAAACCTTTGCCACAATCCTGTCAAAATATAAAATTCTTTCAAGAACCCTAAAACCTTGAAATCCTTATTACAAATCCCCATCTCACTACAAACAAGCCATCCTTTTTACAAATCCACATCTCACTACTTCTCCAGTAAGAATTTAGACAGGGTCCCATGCAGGGTTATTACAAAACACTGAGGCCAAAATAGAACAACCACTAATCCATGGCGAGGCAGACATCTTGAGAAGGTTAAGGGCGTGGGTTCAACAACCACCCCTATTGATTTTGGTTTTCTTCCTATCACTACAAGAAAGATGGTCCCCAATGACATATATTAGCGACGTGGTTATCACGTGAGTAATAAATGCAGTTGCGACGTGATAACCACGTCACAAACATATTTTAATGATAAATAAAGGAAGTAAGAGAAGGTTGTTTAGCAAAAAAATTAGCGACGTGTCTTACACGTCGCTACAGAAAATGAAAATTTAATATGTATTAAACTCTGAGACATTTAGTTGGAGGGAGTTTAAAATTATTTTGAAATTTGGTAGTGACGTGATAGCCACGTCGCTACATTTAAGGGGGAAATTAAAGTTGATTGATGACAGGGTGGCAGAGTGGGAAAGTGAAATATATTTCTGTTGAGTGTGTAGCAACGTGAGTCTCACGTGGCAATGTTGCGATGTGATAGTCACGTCGCTACTTGATATTTACATCTCCACAAAATTATCATCCGTTACAGCATGTTTGTTTCCTCTTCCTTTCTTCTTCCTTTCTTCTTCCTTTGTTTACCTCTCAAACCCAAATTCCCAAATCAAATTTCCTCCATCCCAAATTGTTGAAGAAGAATAAGGTATTCATATTTTGATAAATTTTTATTTCATTTGTTCATTATTTATTATACTGGTAATAAATATTAAAAAGGGTATTTTGTTTAACCTGTAGAGAAATTTGAAGAAGAACACCAAGAGCTACACAAGAAGAAGCAAATTAAGTGAAGAAATTATATAGAGGTATTTATACATTTTTTTTATATTTTATATGTATTATATAGATTAGTAGTATATGTATTTTGTTTATGTGAATTAAAAAAATATTTTACTTAATTTTAGTTTTAGGTTAATTAGTATTATAGGTTAATGTTTAAAATAAAATGAAAATTAGAATGTTTTATATATTAATATATTATTAAACAGAAATATTATTGTTAATATATATAGGTTAATATTTATTAATATTATTGCATGTTATATAGACATATAAAAATTTTTTGTTAGTATATACGTATAAAATAAAAAAAATTGAATATATATTAAAATAAATTTTTTTAGAAAACATAAAATTAAAAGTCTTATTTTTTATAGATGTATATATATATGTTAACACATAAATTTAATAACATATTTAAAAACAAAAATGTATATTATATTTATTATAATAGTTTTATTTTTTATTTATATGTTAAAGATATGAAAAA